CTGTTATTTGTGCATATGAACAGTCCAAATCTCTGAATTACTCATTTTTTTTTTTTACCTTGTTGGATTTATGTATGTATTTGAGCATATTTTTGACATATTTCATTACTGTGAATTCATCTAGTTTATCCACACACATTGATAGCAGCATCTACTGAATAGACACTGATTGCCCTTGTGAGATAAAAGTCTCCATCTATGGTATACCTCATGCATCTCTGATAACTGCAGATCTATACTACATTTACCACCAAAAGTGGAAAGGAAGTCTATCTAGATCATAAGAATATATAGTTATAAAACTACAAAAATATTTAGAGGGCTAAAGGCCAGTGCCATATTGGAAGCTATTTGTTGTTCACTTTCAAAAATGGCAAGGACAGAGAAATGAGACAAACATGGAATGAAAATGCATGAAAGATAAGTAAAATTTATGCACAAAAGAAGAAAGTACAAACAGATAGAAGCAAAGTGAGACCAAATATACATGCATGTGTAGAAACACTGATTGAGAAATCTAACTGCAGAGATTTCCATCCTCTCATCACAACTGAGCGTGTACTAAATGAATAAACTGCTACTTGACATTTCCTAAATAAATATCATGGGAAGAGTACTTATTTTACTTTAATGAATCATTTTGGCCCCTACAACAGAAAGTAGCTGTGATGAACTATAATCTGTTTCGGGAAATATAATTCTATAATGGAGATATATATGGACTGAAATATGAGAAGTTGTGGTCTCCAACAGGTTTGCTTTAAAAGAGATTCTGATTCATCCATGCCCACTTCTACTTATATTTGATCATAGCTGTTGACATACTGTATCTGCCATGCAGAGAGATACTTCTCTACTAGAGGTAAGAAAGCCATATGGTTCGTGGATGACTATGAGTTTTCACAAGGCAAACTGAACTACATATAATTTTTTTTTCTGTAGTTATTCAAACAAATCTACCCATTCGGCAAACAATACTTTTGATTCAGGTGGGATATTTTGGCCATACAATACATTTCTAAGAACTGAAATTCTCTCTCTTGCTTACAATCATAAACACTAACTTTCTGCATTAGTGGGACTCTTGTTCACCAGACACAGTTATATAAACAAATTCACTGTAGTGATGAACTGAAACAGCAAATAAGACTTGTTCACGAAGTAGAACTGAAGCAGCTGGTTTTGTTTGACTGATGCAGTTTGAAAGGGCCCCCGATGGTAAACCTCAGAAAAAAACAGGGGGTTTTTTCAATGTTCTTTTTATTACTAAAACTACTCATAGAGTATCATAGCTATGGAAGGAAATTGCTTTGACTACATGTAACTGCAAACAGGAAAAAAAGTCCCTGCCAAAGGCAGGTGTAAAATGGTATTTTACCACCTTTGTTAAGGCACACAAAAACTATCCCAATAATTACTCCAGTGTCCATAATTTAGCCAGACAAAGCTCTCAATCAAGCTGAAATTTAGTCATCCAGACTATTTCTTATGAGAACATCTGCTGTCAGAAAAAACCTGTTGTAACTGTGAAATGGTAACTTGAGTGGGACGGACAATGTTCTGGAAAGCCTGCAGAGGGTACCCTCTGGGTGGGATGCTGCCTGCAGTTCAGGCACAGTGAAAACTGAATATCCAAGCTTTCCTCAGGACCAGGCACGAATGTTCTCTTCAGGAATACATTTCTTCTATCACATCTACCAACTAATATTAAAGTAACTTGCTTCATATACTGGAATTCATTAGAATGTAATTTTTAGTTAGCAATAACGGACCTTGACATTTTTGTCTTGATTTGGTAACTTTTTCTTTTAACAGCTTGGCAGAGTCAACAATATCACCATTCATACTGGTGGGACCTTGCCCTACAAAAATGTGAAATTCCGATCCCATTAGGTCTTTAGGAATACCACCAACTATTCAGCAAACCTTGGATTTGACTGTGCAGTTCTACCCGTTACACAGACAAAACATGTTCTCCTCAACACCTCTGTCAAAAGCAGTCAACGCTTGCCGGTTGTTAAACACTTGCTTAAAGCATTTATGACTTCACTGTAAATGTAACTTCAACTTGCACCAGAAATTTAAACTCATTTCAGAGGGACTGGAAATTCTAAAAAAGTTAACAAAGAGGTATGCCCTATACTGTTCTAGTGCAAACTAGATATAAATGAAACTAAATGCAAATAGCACTTCATAGTACTAAAATTAGAAGCTAAAAATAATCTAAAATAGAATCAATGAATTTATTTGACAGTTCTAGTTTTTGCTTCATGTGTAACTGAACAATGGCATAATAAATGCATTCTTTAACTTAGGAATATTATGTCAGATCACACAGGGTCTGACTACAGCACTCAGAATTAAATCTCCAAGGCATAACATTGTAATTCATAAAACTATTAAACATCATCTGAGTCCATTTTAACCACATACCAGACATCTTGAAAAGCATGCAAAATTATGGGGTGGGGGGAAACCATTCAAATATAAATGATAAAGTCTGGTTAGCATTGTAAAAATAGCTCCATGCAGTAAAATTAAAACTTGCAATTCTGAAAGGAAGTGCTTTGTGCAAACCATCTGGAAATCACTTGGAAGTATAATTGCCGTATTGCTGAAAGCACAGAAATATAAAACTTCCACTCTTCCTATTTTACCTGTTTTCCAGATAAAACACAAAGATGGAAATGAAACTAATCACAGATGTGAAAGGCTGATACTTCAAATACATCTGCATTATAAAATAGCACTAACCCCTGCTCTAACCGGGGTCTGGGACAACTAACAGGCTCCCCTGACATATCCCAGGCTGCGATACAAAGCATTCAGCTACTAAGACCCCACAGTCATCTGTGCTCGGTCACACTGGTGTGACTGACCCCTTCTCCTAGCAGGATGCCTGCTTGCAGCCATCTACTACCTAAACGACCGGTGTATTCAGTATTTTCAATTTTGCTAGTGATGCTACTCTGAAGCACGCAGAAATACACACGGAACACTCCAGCACCGAGAAGGGCACTTGAGTTTCACAGCCTCGTTCTTGGGTTCGGCATCACCTAGAGTGACTTGGAGCGCTCGATCTCATTGTGAGCGCTTTAATTTGGAAGAGATTCAAACACCACCTGCTCCCGAGTCACAGTCAGCCGGCGTAAGCCTGTGCTGTAACGAAGCACAAAAGGAATCAAACAACAAAAGGTTCGTCGCTGAAGGCGAGAAACCCTTGGAAGTTTGAGGGAAGTTGAGGCCGAAGCACTTGTATGCCTTTACCGCTAAGCGGCACGGCACCGGCACCGCTGTCAGAACCGGGGCAGCAGCAGGGCAAGAATTCGGTTAGGACAGCGGCCCCTTCGGCGACGACCCCCCCGCCGGCCGGAGGGCTGCCCCGCTCCCCCCCCCCGCGGCCCCGCCGGGCCCGGCCCCGCCGCTCACCCGCCCCGAGGTGGCGGCCGCCGGGCGGTTTGCCGGCCCGGAGCGCGCTGCGCTTTACTGGTGACGCCGGATAATTCTTTTATTTCTCCGGCAGCCGGTTGTTTCAAAGGGCGGCGGAGGCGCTCGGCCAAGCCGGCTGCAAACACCGCCCTCCCCGCGGGGAGAGGCACCCAGGATCGCCGCCGGCGACCGGGAGCGGCGCGGCAGATGCGTTCGGCTCCCAGCGGCCGCCTCCGCGCTCCGGCTGCGCGCCCGCGGACTTTTCCAAGCGCGCCGAGCCGTGCGCGCCCGCGGAAGGGCCCGATGCGCGGAGCCGGCGCCGGTAACGCGCGGGACGCCCCCCGCCGCGCGCCCCTCCGGTGGGGGCTGCGAGAGGCCGGGGGGAGCTGCGCCCCCCCCCGACGTACCCGCGCCCTCCGCGGCACGGCACGGCGGCCGGGGGGGGAAGCGGTGCGAACGGCGACGCGGCTGCAGCCCCGGCCCCTCCTCGGGGCGGGGGGGGGGGGGGGGGGGGAGCCCCGAGGATCACGCGCTCCCAAAATTTGAATCGCCGCCGGTACTGCGGCTCCGCGGGCAGCACCCCCCCCGCCCCGCCGCTCCCCTCCGGCCCAACCGGCCGTACGGTGGGTCCGTCCGTGTCCCGTGTGTGCGTGTGTCGTCGTCCCCCCCCCCCCCCCCCCCCCGCCACCGCGCCTCCGGTGCCGGCCCGCAGCCGCCCCGCGCCGGCCACGGAGCAACCCCCCCGCGCCGCGCAACCGTCCTGCCCGGGCTGTGCCGAGGCGAGACCGCCTCCACGGCGAGACCCCGGCCGCGGTTAGCGCGGCGCCGGGACGCTCCGGTGATGGAGGTGGGGGGGGGGGGGGGGGGGGATGGCGGTGGAGGACAGCACAACCGACGGCGCGGCTGGTGCTCCCTCGCCCCGCTGGCCGGGCACCCGCCCCCGACGGCGGCCGGGACCCGCGGCGCCGGCAGCCCCGGTCGCTCCGTTGCCTGTGCGGGGCGGGGGGAATTGTCCTCCGAGCAGCGCGGTGCGACCGCCGCCCCGACGGCGGCCCTTTCCCCTCCTTCCCGCCCCCCCCCCCCCTACCTTTTTCAGCGCTGACATTCTAGTGCATTATTAACGCGGCGGGTGCGGGCTGCGCGCGGGGCTGCCGGGTCAGGTGAAGGAGACGCCCGGCCGGGAGCGGGAGCAGCGGCGCGCGCCCAGCATCACCCCGGCGCGACTCACCCCGCCGGGGCGCCGCCGCCGCCGCCCGCTCCCCGCGCGCCGCCGGGGCCGCCCGCCGCGCACCGCCCGCCCCCCCCCCCCACCCCCCGTCCTCCCCCCTCCCCTCCCCTCCCTTCCCCTCCACGCGCGCACCCCTCCCGCCCTCGCTCCCGCGCGCGCGGCGGAGGCGCCCGCCGGGTTTCTGGTTTGCGCAGCCGCGCTCCCCCTACCGGAGCCCGCGGGCACCGCGCCCGGCCACGGGAGGGAGGGAGGGAGGGAAGGAGGCCCCGCCCCCCACCGCCGCCGCCGCCACCGCCTCCACCAATGGCGCGCCTTCCAGCCCCGTGACGGACGGGTGGGCAGGGCGGCGGCGAGCAGGAAGTAGGGCGAGCGGCGGGGCCAGCGCGCGCTCGGGGCCATGGCCCTGAGCAGGAGGGAAGGTAGGGCAGGGCGAGGCGGTTAACGGTCCTCGGCTGAGGCGCGTTTTCCCTCCGGGCTGTGCCGCCGTTCCGCACGGCGGGACTCGCGTGTCCCTCCCCTCGGCGCCCTCCTCCCGGGGGAGGGCGGCGGGGGAGGTGGCGGCCCTGGGGGCGGCTCCCCGCGGGAGGGGACGGGGGTCAGGGTGGGGAGGGGCTGGGGAGGGGGGAGCGGGAACGGCCGGGTCCCTTTCTCGGAGCTCCGGGCCTGTACCTCGGGCTCGGGGGCGCTGGGAACAGTGCCTGATGCTGCCTATTGCTGATGGGGGCGGGGAGGGGGGAGTAAGTAAAATCGCTTTTCTTAAAATACTTTGCGATTAAGACGAGCACCTTTTTTTTTTTTCTCAGCGCAAGTATGCATGTGTGCTTGCTAGTGACCACACAGCTTTATTTAAAGTGAGTTAGCACGGTTCTGAAATAACCATGGTACTGTGCTTGCAAAGGAAAAAAAAAAAAAAACTTTCCCCTATCCAAGCATAACTTCAGTCCGCTTGGTTTGACTTTACATTTTTATAAGACTTGGCCTTGTGCAGGAAGAATGCAATAATAAAAATAAAGGTCGTCTTGAAATGGTATCTTGTTCTTAAGGGCAGTCGAGAAGGGCTGAGCTACAGGAGAGCTGAATGCTTGTCCACTATAGTGACTTTGTGGCTGGCTCTTAAGTTTTCAAACAGTTCTGGGGCATCCTGAAACTCGAATCCTTCCTGCAAGGATAACAATGTGAGAGTGAGACTGAACAGTGAGGCGTGGTGTTTAAGCTATTTGCTGGATGACTGCAACTGGTGATAGTTTTGAAGGAAGTATACAACCGGAGTAGGGTTCTCTGTGTTTTAGATGTAGTTTCATTGTGAGAAATGGAGAAGGCGGAGGGAGTAACTGTTCTGCTTCTAGTTTGAGTTCCTTTGAGGAAAACCAGAGAATTAAAAATTGATGTTTTCTGGGAGAAAGTTAAAGAGTTGGGAAGAGTGAGTTATTCACGTGTAAATGAATGCCTGACTCTACAGCTGAGAGTGGGGGAAACTAATTCCAAAGCACTCGTATTGTTTAAAACCAAAGGTCAAATAAGGAACTACTTGTTTCGGTAGGATGGAAGAGAAGGATAAAATGATCATGCTGAGTGACTGTCTTTACTGTGTAAAGTTAGAAATCACTCATGTTTTGTTCAGCTGCTCTAAGGAGTCATGACTTGAGATTGGGAAGAAAATACAGTGAGGAATACAAGGATGACAGATTGCCACGTGGTCACCTAGGATGAAATGACAAAATTGGAAGAGTTTACAACCTCATCCAATCAGCCTCTGCAGCTGATAGTATATATGGAAGCTGTTGACTTTCTATCGTGTAAAACCATATACATTTTTAAAAATACAGGTGTCTCAGAAAAGAGCCGAAAAAGAAGGTGTAAATGCTTCTCTTTAAGGTTGTTTTTGCTCCTGTCTAGAGGAGTAGATGCTAAAGACAGACTTTTGTCTGCATTACAAATGTACACTGAAGCTTTTTATTTTGTACTGAACTGGGCCATAATACAGAATGAATGGGATGGTCAACAGCTTGTATGTCATGGGTCTAATTTTCTACAAAGAGAATCTAAATAACAGAAAGACAGTAAGCCATCAGAGCAGGTAAGTGAAATGCACTTCACTTTGCCAGGAAAGGGTTGGGCAGGTATAACTGAGAAAGTGCAGAGCTTTTTGAGTTTTGTGGGGATTTTTGCTTTTCAGTTGCTCGTATACCAACGGTATGTAACAGGGCTAGAGGTACTAGCAGTTATTATATGTATTATTGACAGGATGGTTATCCTCTCTGGGCCAACTGGATTCATAATTCATAGCTGTTAAACATCATCAGTTGCTTCTTTAGAGCTGTAGTCATCATTCTTGAAAGTTTGTGCAGCCCCAAGGTAACACTTATCGTAAAGGTTTATAGGGTGGCATTCCAGCTGCAGAAGGGTAAAGTTAAGATACTGGTGTAGTGTAGTATATGTTCTCAACCTTAACTGCTAATAAATGATGCAAAAGTTAGTATGCTGTACAAAGGATGATCTAGTGGTACTGCAGGAGACTTCTTATTTGAGAGATCAAACTGGAAATCCAATGCAGCCCATTGATAGTCATCAGTAATAAGTTACAAAAGATTTTAAACAGTGAGGGTATTGTCTCAAGTAATGGTATTTTAATCTCTTTGTCATGAGTCAAATGACTTGGGCTTGAGGCAGGAAGCTCGTACTTGTAATAGGGATTGAAATGTGATTGCAGTGCCTTAGTTCTAGGGTTTTGTTGGTTTATTGTGTTTCTCTTTAAGTATCCATTTCAGATATTAACCAGCTTTAATTATTGCAGAAAAACACACCGGGTTTTTTCCTTTTTCTAATTTTATAATAACAACCTTGCTTTTTACAGATCCTGAGTATTTTTTTTAATTTATTTATTTTTGGTTTTTAAACTCAACATAAGTTGTGGAAAACACTTTGAGGCTTTTTCTGCAAGAAGAAAAAAGGATAAAACTTTTTGCTCTGTTTTAGTGTGGATGTCCTTTCATCAAGATATGTTTGTCAGTAAGGGAAATAATTAATTAGGAATGGAGTTTGAGGCCTGACACTATTTTGTTTGGCTCTGGGAACAATATCTTGTTCCTCCCCACCCCCAAGCAATTAACAATGCATGTTACTTTCAGTCACCAAAGATTTATTACAGCTTACCAAGATCTAAATTTTATTTGGCTTGTAGTTGAATAAATCACAAATATGTGTGCTTTGTTATTAAATGTAGAAGTTGGATTAGAGCAAATGTAATTGACTCAGCCATTAAAGTCTTTGGGGGCGGGGGGAGGAAGTCTCGGGCATTTTTTTGTTGCTGACTTCAATATTGTGCCTGGGTGAGAAATCTAGCCAAGGAGCAAGGCCAACATGGTAATGAAAGAAGAGACAGAAATGATAGATCTCTTGGCTCTGTGTTTATAAAGTCTGCGAGGGTAACTCATGATCACAGATAGCTGAATACGTAGATCCTGACATAATGTGGTCTTTGGGGTTCTGTGTTTTGTGTGGGTAGTTTGTGGGGGTTTTTTGGTGGCAATGGGGGATGTTGAATGATTTTTAGAAATTACACTTTGGAGCAATTCTTTTCTACTTGGCAGTGAGATAGGGTGGTCCACAAGAGAGAGATAGGAATCTGTTTAGATAGACCAGGATATTTTTAGGAACAGGTGTATGTACTTGTGTTATTTAGTAAAAGTGGCAAGTGGGGGAGGACGTGATACCTGCCATTTTGGTGTGTTGGTTTGGGGTTCTTTTACCTTTTTAAACAATCAGTGTGTGGTGCCTTTCATTCAACACTAGTTTTGAGCTTGTTATCGGTAGATTTCTGGAATCTATGGGCTATCAGAGCAATTTGTAAAAAGTTACAGTTGTGTTGTGGTTTAACCCCAGGTGGCAACTAAGTATCACACAGCCACTCACTCCTCGCCTCCCCTGCTCGGTGGGATAGGGGAGAGAATCAGAAGAGTAAAAGTGAAAAAAATGGTGGGTTGAGATAATGACAGTTTAATAAGTAAAGTAAAAGCTGCACACACATATGCAAAGCAAGGAATTAATTCACTGCTTCCTATCACAGGCAGGTGCTCGGCCATCCCCAGGAGAGCCGGGCTCCATCGTGCGTAATGGTGACTTGGGAAGACAAACACTGTCACTCCAAGGGTCCCCCCCTTCTTCCTGCAGCTTTATATGCTGAGCACGATGCCATATGGTGTGGGATATCCCTTGGATCAGCTGGGGACAGCTGTCCCGGCCGTGTCCCCTCCCAGCTCCTTGTGCACCCCCAGCCCACTCTCTGATGGGGTGAGGTGAGGAGCAGCAAAGGCCTCGAGGCTGTGTAAGTGCTGCCCAGCAGTAATGAAAACATCCCTGTGTTATCAACACTGTGCTCAGCACCAATCCAAAACATAGCCCCATCCTAGCTACTGTGAAGAAAATTACTCTACCCCAGTCAAAACCAGCACAGATTGTTATTTCCAGTAGGCAATATGTGGTTTCTTGTGTTTTTCAGTTGTCTTCGGTTCTAAAGGTTGAAAACTGTTCTCTAGAAGTTTGCATTTCTGTTACGGATTGCCAAATAGCTTAAATTAGAATTCCCTTTAGGACTAGAAAGAAAAGAATTATCTCTCATTGAAACTTAAAATACTTTGTAATGATGGGATTTTTCATATAATATTGATTTCTATTATATGTATATGTGGGGACACTTTCAGAAGTTGCTGGATATTATGTTACAATCAGATATTCAAGTCACAGCAAAGGTGATCTATTTAGACCCTGAAGAAGGCTATGTAGACACTCAGTTGTATTTATATATTTATATAATACGAACTGATGAAGATGCCTTTTAAATAAAGCTTGAATGATGCGCAGTCTTGTTGAACTTTTGCCTGTGCTCAGTGATATTACCCCTGCCAGTTCCATGGTTTGTTTTGTAAATACTAGTATATTGAGCTTCATTTTAGTTTCATATGAGCAGAGGGAGCAAGCTGTCTCTGTAAAACTTCCAGATTTTTTTCTCTTCAGTAATCTGAACTCTGAATGACTTTTTTTACTGTTCTCAGCTATTCTTATGATAGTGCTTTAGGCTGTTATAGTACTATGCCTGTTTCCCATGTTACCCCTGGCATCTATATTTTACTTCAGCCCACGTGTGGTGTAGTTTGATGTTCACGTCAGGCCGTATGCTGTTTGCATCTGGATAAGAGTTCTTTAGGTTGAAGTAAGGTTTAATCCTTCTGAACTTTAGGAAGTTTACACCTGTGCTGGCAGGGGACTGTCAGTGATGTAAGCACACAGCCTTTCCCCCGTCAACCCCCAAATCTGACTCAGAAGAGAGAGGAAAGAGTCTCCTGCAGCTATGGTTTGCGGTTGGCTCAACTTTTGAGTAGCCAGAATTGTTATTAATAATATTCAGCGAAATTGAGCTTCT